GATTTTTTTATTTTTTTAGATATAAATTTTAATTGACAATTTCATATATTATATAAATGATAATTGAAAATTTTTTTATTAAATAAAAATACTTGACAAGAATTTTATATAAAAAAATTTTAATTGTTATTTATATAAATTATTAAATTTTTATTTAAAATGTACATTTAAAAAATTAAAAAGTTAAATTACATTTACTAAAAAAGATGAAGACAGTATAATTTTAAGGAATTTTGAAATAGAAATCGTTTTTGTATTAATCACGTTCTTAATTTTGGTTGTTTGCTGTAGAAACTTAGCAACCAAGTCATCAATTTTTGTTTTTAATTATGTTTGTTGGTTTTAATTGGATAGGCAAAATCCATTGTAAAACTTCTCGAACTTATCCCATTTTAGAAGATAAGCCTCTAAACAAAATGATCAAGCAGGTAAACCTTTAAAACTCACCAAATTGCAGCAAATTAGTCCTTATTTAATTGAAATCGTTACTCTCTGTTAAATTTAATTGGTGTGGGAGTTAAAATAACCGGGCAGCAATGACATGATGGTAACAAGAAAATAGTCAAATGCAATTCAATCCCTAAGTTAAATTTGAAAGAGAAATATAGTCCTCTAAACTTTAAAAATTTTACTAAAAATGAAAATATAAAAATTCAAAAAATTTGTTAATATAGATAAGTTGTAAATTTAGACATTCATCAAAAGTTGCATTTTCTTTTATTTTTCCATTATCTTGTACTATCCTTAATTTCTTATCCTTGCCATTCTTCTTCTTAGACCAACTTAGTTCATTTATTTGGGACCTTTCTTCGTTACTAGGACACCCCAGCTATGGTCTACTGAATTAATATAGTACAAATTAATCCTTTTACTACAATCAAATAAACATATAGAGAGACCTTGTGGCCTAGTAGCTACTAATCCCTTATAAAGTTTTTTTCATACTAGTTTGAGATGTGGGGTTCGAGTTCTACTCCTAATGTTTCATAAAAATTAAAAGAAATAAACATAACTTATAAGTTGAGATGATTTTTTATTTAGACATATATGTTCTATAATACTAATTAGAGATAAATATTTATTTATAGATTTTAATTATATTCACTGGAATTGGACTAAAAATCAGCAAAATTTATAAAAATATATTAAACTTTAATGAAAGCTAAAACACCTTAAATGAAGTAAATTTATTTGGGCCATCATTGAAATGAAATACATAAAAGATTGAAAGTTAGGCTCCGTAAGGTTGATAGATGAATTATGGTGGATAGTTGACAAGATGAGATGTATATGCAATCATGCTAAGCAAGTTCATGTTTTGATTGTGCAATTTGTTGGGATTTCAACTACTGGAGTATGTTGATAATGACTTAATCCTTTCAAAATCATGCAATCTTTTTAGCATTATTGCTGCAAATTGAGAGAAAGAAGCACCCATCGAAAATGACTAAAACCTAAAGTTGTTAGTATAAAATACTCAAAGTTTAGGGATTATGTCTATGTCAAATTTAACTATTTGAGGGATTAAATTGCAATTGTATTTTCTTTACTGTTATGTGAGATGAATTTACTACTGTTTATTACTTTTGCAGGCCCTAAAATTATTTAAGTGCACTTTAATACCGCTAAAAAATATTTAATCTCATTTCCTCCCGCTTTTTTTAACAAATTGTAGTATGTGAAAATCAGGCTTTCCAGGAAATAAAACTCAGGAATAACTCACGCATATGTTATTTAAGTTATAAGTTTATAATTTTATTTGATATTATAACTATAATATTATTACCTTAAAAAATTAGATACTCATACATTAGTATATCAATTTATGAGGATTCTCAAGATTGACC